ACTTGGTAAGCCTCCAGCATCGGGTCCGACATTCCTTCTCGCAGAAGCATACCGTCGGTCATGTACTTCAGGACTGTGTAAGGCGAGCTGCAGTCCTCGAAACGAATGCTGTACCCCACTTGCTCTCCCAACGTCACGTCCATCTCTTCTGAGACTCGCTGGGCTACGCTCATTGCTGCTACTCGACGAGGCTAGATTCAATTTTAAAATACGATTAATTTTTATTAAATTGCACGATATTATTCTTAAATATTGACATTTTTTAAGATAATACAAAGCTCATTTTGATGTTACACTTGTTAAGGGCTTTCATTTGAGTACCCACATGCATTTTTGATATATTTTTCATATATTTATATATATAATATATATAAATATATAAAATATATGATAAATTGATGTGGGTACTTAAATGAAAGGTCTCGATGAGTGTAACATCGAGATGAGCTTATTTCTTTAAAAATGTCAATAATTAAGAAATGACCTTGTATTTTGTCAACTATTGACATTTTTAAAAATATAAGCTCATCTCGATGTTACACTCATCAAGACCTTTCATTTGAGTACCCACATCATTTTTTCATATATTTTACATATATATATATATATATTATATTATATATATGTATATATGAAAAATATATCAAAAACGCATGTGGGTACTCAAATGAAAGCTCTTGATGAGTGTAACATCAGGATGAGCTTATATCTTTAAAAATGTCAATAATTCACAAGATACAAGGTAATAATTTAAATATTAAGATTGAATTTTAAAAATACCTGAGTACAAGCGACACCCTTAGTTCCAGTCTGAGTAGAATACTCAACGCACCACTGTGGTATCTGAGTGGTTTTACCAGACCCGGTCTCACCGACCAGGACGATGCACTGGTACTCGCTCAACAGACGCATAAAGTCAGCTCTGTACTCGAATACCGGCAATGTGATCCGCTTCTTATAAAATTCATAGTACCGCGGTGTGAAAGGTAACTTTGTGTAAGGATTTATCTGTCCTGGTCCTGAAGGTGGGCACAATGATTTGTTTGCTCCAGTCGACGCGCCTACTGCTGTTCCACCGGTTGAAGACGACGCTGAGGAACCTGCCATGTCTAGCTTAGCTTCCTCTCTAAAAAAATTGCAAATTGCCAATTTTAGTGTCATTAAAAAAAAATGATACTCAATTTTTTTTTTTTTTATAGTTTTAATCATTAAATTAGAAACAAAAAAAAAATTTTTTCTAATTGTAATTGACATTTTTAGATTTTAATTTTTTGATAAAAAAAATTCCACAAATTTTCAGATATTTATTAATTTAATTTTTATTATTCCAGTTTTTATCTCAACAATTAAATAAATTTACACATGTCATTAAATAGAGCAATGGAGGAAAGATTTTCTACCGCTCAGCTATCAGACATTTATTCCCCTAGACATTAAAACAATCTGACACTTTTTGAACTTAATAAAAAATTACAATTAAATTTATTTATTAACACAACTTATAATTTTGCTAAAAATTCACTAGCAATATTAATTTAAGCATCAGTAATAAAATTTTGGCACCGAACATCGTATAGCAAACGTGTTGGCGGGTTATTAAAAAAATAAAACAATAATATTAAATATCTTACCGCTTTTTCTTGATAAAAGGGTCCAAAACTTCAATCCTTCGTTTCGACATTGTATTTTTTTATTTAGTTATTTAATAATTACAAGGGAAGTTTGTTTACAAAATTTCAACCACGAGGTGCGTCACAAAATGGCAACACACACCTTCTAAAACGACCAGCACTCAATACACAATGTATTTTTTTTTTAGATAATATATACTTTTAGGACCAAACTGTAGCTTCTTTTTGGAGTTGAGAGTTCATACAGTTCAACTAGAGAAACTTTTCATTAAACTAAAGACTAATTACCCTTTTATCTATTGTTTAATCGGAGCGAAAGCGTCCGAACGGTAGTTTGACTGGTGAAATATACTTCGGGCGTCTTCGGGATTTTAAATTACTACTGCGCATGCACGAAAAAGTGGCGCGTTTATTTTAAAAAGTGTTTTATTTTTATTTTAAAGTTTAGTTAGAGAGTATTTTATTGAAAGTATAAATAATTGTTTATTAAATGATTATTAATTATACAATGATATTTTTTATAGTGTACATTGCTTCATTGTCACAACCAAAAAGTAAAGTTGATCTGTCAATGTCAAAACTATTTATTGGCTTGTGTAATGGGCCGCATAATTCTGTTATATTTACTTTGGCATCTATTCCACGTGTTGCTAACCAATGACTGTCATTATCTGAAATTAATTCAATTATATTAATGTTCTTTATTATTTAAGCTGTCAAATTTTCTTCATTAATAATAATAATAATAATAACTAGCAAACTTGCAGTCATTACGTGACTGCCGTGATTGTTAAACTACAAATAAATAAAATTTTGCTTTATTAAATAATAACTTTTATTAAATTGCACTGTACTTTTTTAAATATTTAAGTTTTTAGAGATATAAGCTCATCATGACGTTACACTCATCAAAACCTTCCATTTGAGTATCTACATCATTTTTTCATATATTTTACATATTTATATATATTATATATGGAAAATATATAAAAAATGCATGTGGGTATTCAAATGAAAGGTCTCGATGAGTGTAATGCCAGGGTGAGCTTATATCTTTAAAAATGTCAATAGTT